GTGGTGTGTTTCCTGCGAACACACCTAGGAAAGCACACCTTGGAAAGCCCTAAGAAGGAAATGACTGCCCTAAGGAGCTTGGCTCATCATTCACAGGCATTGAATGAATTTCAAGCACTTCTTCTGCAATGAACAGGCACGTCAAGAGACATGCCCAAGAAAGCACTTATAGACCTACTTGAATGTAGTTTAGCAGCCAGGGCTTTGTCTGAGATTGTAACCACAAGCAGGCAGCAATGGAGCATCATGATAAGGGATGGGTTAGGTTGCTAAGAATTGAAAACACAAGGTTGTGGGTAGGAAAATCCTGAAAGGCAGGAGCAGGAGCAGTGCTGCCTGACTGGTGTTGAGTGGCTTTGAAAACTGTGTTGTAAAAGCTGCTTATCTCACATACTCATTCAACTTGACTCACCCACTCCAAAACAGCAGTATCACCCACAGCTGCAAGGAAATCGTGACAACGTGAGCTGTAATCTCAGGCTTTTCTTTCTATATTCAGTGCACTTGTCCAGCTTTAGTTTGCAGCTTTATCTTAGGAAATGAGAGAGACACTGAGAAGTTTGGGTAAGGTCTACGTTATCTCATCAAATTGTCCTGTGGATTACACAGCAGAGATTTGGTATTTCATACCAGTAGATTAGATCTATCCTGTAGGATGATTCCCATGCATTCATATCAAGTGTGACAAATGGGGATCCCTTTGCAGGTAGTTTTCCTTCCATGCCTTTTCCATGTGTACATCCATAACAAACAAGCATGTTTTAAATTGCTTACTGCAATTGCTTACTTAAATTGCTAACTGCAGTGCTGACTGCAAAAGCACGAAGGGTGCAAGTACCAGATTTTTTTTCTGGAAACTCCTTTAGCAGGCAAAAATGATGCCTGAAAAAATTAGAAAGCTTGAACCTCTCTGCAAGTTTATCCCGTGTGTCACTGACAGTAGCCACAGAAGCACATTAAGGTATTGTTTTCTGCAAGTAGCAGGCTCTAAAATCTGTGCTTTCTATGCTGGATGGGAGAAAGTGTTTTGGGAAAAAATACGCCCCTTCCAATCACTATGTAAGTTGAATGGCTTGTCAGTTTTGATGGCTTAAAATGGTTACACTTCTAAAGTACCTCACTGAGAAGTCTTGCAGCTTTACCAGGATTCTCATAACACTTAATGTTTTCCTTAAAGGCCTGGGTTTTGATGGCACAGTATCATGCCAAAACCTCAGTTTTCATCTACAAAAAAAAGGTCTTTGGTGTTGTACAAAAGGGCTGGGAAGTAAGACCTGAATGTAGCTCAGGTGTGAAAGAAAGGGCAAAAAAAAGAAGCTTTAAATTATTTTAAAGCCGGTGTCATAAATTTTGAGCAGCCAGTGACTTATGGCTTTTAGTGGCTCAGATCTGTAATTTAAAGAAGAAAAGAAGCCATTACAACTTCCAGGAGAAGTGTATAGCAAAACAAGGAGAGTGTTGAACCTCAAACAAACATTTTCACCGCTGGACCTGCCTCTTCAAAGAAGCGCTGCTCAGCCAAAATGGAATGGGATCAGTTTAAACTAGAAAAAAGCTATCAAAATTAATAAAAGTCAAGTTTTAGTGGAAAATCATACCTGGTGGGGACGGTTGAACAAATTTAGCAACAAATTTAGCAGGAAAAACTCACCCCTGGCTACATAACATAAAAGCTGTTGTACTGGCTTTTCACCTTTGAAGCACAAAGCCAGATATCTGCTGCAGTATTTAAGTCAGGAATATTCCTATGGCTTTCAGAGACTGCTGCCCTCTCAGGATGATTTGGTTGATGAGAACGAGACAGGTAGCAATTGTTGTTCTATTGCAAAATTCCTTATCTGTAAGTTTATGGACAGAACTGGAATTGGATCAATTTCAGGTCACAACACAAAGGCATTTCTTTCCCTTCATTCTGGCTTTTAAGAAACATACCTTCCAACGACAGGCAATTTGATTTGTATGTTCTGTTCTTGATTTAGCCAACTCATTCTGATGGCCAGAGATTTTAAGAAAAACAAGGTTTCCCACAATATTTTGATTTCTACATGTCATGGTAACCAATGGCACCAAATAACAAAACGTCTAAACACTTTTGGGACCAGATTGTAGCTCTGGACAAGGGCCAGTATAGCAGTAAGAGGAAGCTTTGCAAGGACAATTTAGCAGCAGATAACACAAAAGATGTCCTTGAAACAAAGGAAAATAACCAAAACAGGTGCAACAGCGGTTACTAAAACACAGAACCTCTGAGTGCTCTGCATGCGAAGAAGAGCAGAATAAAGAAGGTACGAGAAAGGCAAAGCCTGCAGCCATTGCTCAGCTAAAAATTCCTCCAGTATGTTGGATATATTTTCTGCCTCAGAAAGTGAAGATTCAGTCCTGCAGTACTGCAGGGTATTTCTCATGTAGACTGAGCTGAAGTTAAAGAACAAATGCTGAGGTTCCTGGCCTAGCATGGATTCCCAAGTTCCCAAGTGGATGTTGTCCCATGTGGCTGTTGTCTCACCCCTGCTCTGGGAAGGTGGCCTCATTTCATGAGCACATGCCTTGCATTTCCCTCAGTCATGTTTCATGAAGGATGATGCTGCTTGAGTCTTGAATGACACTGATACCTTCCTCCCTGCCTAGCAATGTTGTGATATTGCCATGAGTCACATAGCTATTTTTGGACATAGTGAAATTTCGGGGACTGTGGGACAGGCACTGAGGGTCCCTCTGTCTGCTCCATCATCTTTGCTCTAAAAATTATCTAGGGAGCAAACCCTGGAAACTTCTTGTCATTGGTGGTGTCTGCAGTGTCCTGGCACTCTGCATGATGCAGCAAAAGGCCAGCTGGGAGGATAGGAAGCACATTCTGTGGTAAAAAGTCGACCCACAAAGAGGTCAGACTCTTGTGCTTGTAGTAAAATGGGAACTGTGATGAGTGAAGCCACATCACGCTGTTAGCAGGTTGCTGAACAGCACAGCATCTTCAGCTTAACAGATCAGTGCCGACTACATGGTAGCTCAAGATGGGTCCAGTATTCTTCTGAAAACTTAGAAAGTATAGCATGGAAATAACTTATATACATCATGATGATACTGTAATCCATTATCAAAAAGCACTTTGGTGGCAAGTACTAGAGATAAGGCACCTGCTTGTTATCTGAATCTGAGAGGCACCTGGGAATGACAGAAAAGAAGCAGAGAGTTACTCACATACCTTTTTATAATTAAATGGATAATGATTTGATCTGGAATTAATGTTTGGAAGCAAGCTGTGTGGCTAGGGAAGCACTTTAGAATTCACACCTTGAAGTATGTGATTGCTGTAGAGGAGCCTGCTTTTTTGGCATGCAGCATGTATTTGGACTATAAAGAAATACAGAACAGTTTAACCTTGAAACAATTAATCTCTTCTGAGGCACATGGGTTTTGAATGGACGTAGACATAATTAGAGTTTTTAAATTATACAAGACATGCTCAATCTTTCCATCAGTGTGTAGCTGGAAGAAAATGTGGGAAGGATCTGTGGGCAAGAGGAAAGGACTCTTACTTTCCATAAAAAGCATCTCCTATGTTTGGAAAGAGAAGGATCCTTTAAATCTCAGTTCTCCTCTGTTTATTGCAATTTGATATAAGAGACCAGACATGAGTAAGGAGAAAGCTGCTGATAGTGTCTTATCCTTGCATCATCTATCACAGATTTAGCAAGAGGAGGTCCAGATATCAGCCATAGTGCCACTGTGGAATTTATAGAAGGACTTGGAATTACTGTATTTACCTTTTCCAGAGAACTTTTCTATCCACTATATTTACCAAAGGGAAATTTTAAAAAGCCATCACATAAAGCTACTTGCTATTTGGAAATCAATATAATTTAAAATTGTATAAATAGTACAATAATAAACAAAGGAGTGTCCTATCATAAACCTAGCCTGGAACAACTCTAGGAGTTCATCACCTTCTCAGACATCTACACAATTCAGGTCTAAGTGGGTTGATACCAATAGCATGAAATGAGCAGAAAACAAGATCAAAATTGTACCCTGATCAGCTACAGAGAAACTAGCGAATAAATGCTTGTCTATATGAATTTATTTTCACTTAAAGTTTATATCAGATAAAGAGAGAAAAATCCTCACTGGTTTTTAGGATTATTTTTTTTTCCTCTCCCTTTTAAGACACTTTGGCTATTTATCAGTTGTTTTTGACATTTTTAGTAAGTGCTATAATTAAGATCAAAATGTAATTCAAATTCTAACTGCTCTTTCAGCAGCTTACAACTTTTCAAACCAATTTCTTTCTTCTTAAAAGAACATGGTCAGGTACTTCTCGTTTGCATTTAAATAGCAAAGTTATCTTTTTTTTATAAATTATAATCCAGTAAAATACATAATTTAATTTATCAGCACCTAATTTGGGTTTACTATGAGTGACAACTACGTTTATACCCCACACATAACAGGCTTGCTTTGATTCCAAATGCAGGTTTAAAAGAAAACAAATGCTGAGATTAAAAGCAGGATATTGCAGATAAATAAATACTAATTGAAATCAATAGAGCCAGATTAATTTACATCAGATCAAGACCCAGACCATACAGACCATACTCTGAAGAGCCATAAATGGGAAAATAAATAGGTACCAACATTTTTTCCCCAAAACTGCCTTTCTGAGAGTAATCACAGTACCTGAACGCTCTTAATTTAATCATTCACTGGAGGATGTTACAGGTAAGTGCTCATAATAAACAGTAGGTGTTTCCCTGAGGGCCATGATAGTTTGCATAATGTGCTAGCTATTTATTTTCCAGTGTTATGGTGACAGAAAACTGTTACAGTACGGCTAATTCTAATGAGATATTTTGTAAATGTCTTTTCCTAACGAGAGATCTTGTTTAAGTTCTGAGTTTCAGAGGTTAAAATAATACAGCACCACCAGTACAGTCACTGCTGTTACATATGATCCAATTCCTTTTTTCTTTAATTAACTTTTGTATGTTCTAATCTATTTATAGATGGAGACATCGAGAGCCCCACAGCTGGAGCAGATGTGGCTGTTATTGGAGGTGAGTAGCAGACCGTATTAAGCAGCACGATTAGAATTAAAATAGCAAGTTGGTTATGTCTTGCATTTTGCAAAACCCATACTTTGCTGACAAGACAACAGGAGCGGCACAATTAGAGTTAATTAGGCCAGTGGGAAATCTGCTCCCAGAGGAGCTATTGGCAAGATAACGAGATGAGATAATGAGCATAAACCATATAGTGAGTAGTACCACCCCCATCCATTTCCTTATTTTAAGACAAAATACCTCAGAGTCCAGCAGCAAAGTCAACCTCTGATTCTTCATTATTCGCTGGGCCAAGGTTGTCATTTAATATAAAACTGGTGTAGCACCTTTGATTTGAGCCATGCCAGCTCATACCAGCTCACCCTTTATTTTTACAGAAGATACTGCGGTGCATTTCCTGGTGTTCCATTAAAGCTTTCTCATGCATTTAAACTAAATACAGTTGTCAGAATAAATGAGCAAAGTTATGTTCACAGAGAGAACCTGCCTTTTTATTTTTATTGTGTTTGTTCATTTCCATGCTAACGCACTAATTTCAGTCATTCACAAGGGGCTATACCAATCATTAGTGCAAATTGGTGAGGTTCTGCTATATTTCCCTCAGGTCCCATCTCCTGTAACTTTAATTTCAGCTTTCTATGAACAAGTAGCAGGTAAATTGATTTGTACTTCGTCCCTTAGGCTTATTAATATTGTGCTACATCCAAAGCCTATTAAAGCCTCTTGTGTCAAGGGATATACCAGTGAGGTCCTAAAAATTGATGAAGCCCCCACTGCAACTATGATATTATTGTAAACCTAAAGTTCCTTGTATAAGCAATATAATTTCTGCTAGTGGTAACTTCACTTTCCAGAACCAGGCACCGTAAAATTTTTGGGATAACATTGCAGGCATATTTTTTAAGACAGAGTTATCATTTTTATTTACCCTGCTAATGTTCTGTCTTTTCCCCCGTTTTCATGCCAATAGGGTATCTCCACTTGGTTTACTGGTGCTGATAAATCTAAAGCTTTGGAGATGCCCACTCCTGCCACAGATCTTGAACAAAGGGGACAGAAGAGAGATACTGTCTGCATACCCCTCATTGTGTCTGCAGAATAGTAGGCATTTCCAGGGAGCGATTCTTCTGACCAAATACAGGAATTCAGTTCTAGAAGTGGAATCACTTGCACACACCCCATCCATTGACACTAGGGAAGTCATAAAATCATAGAATACCAGGTTGGAAGGGATCTGAAGGATCATCTGGTCCACCAACCTTTCTTGGCAAAAGCATCGTCTAGACAAGATGGCCCAGCACCTTGTTCAGCTGAATCTTGAAAGTGTCTGATGCTGGGGAAAGCACAGGGGGAGTAATTCAGATGGAGCCTCCTGAACTATAGATGCCTACAATGAGTCAGATTAATTTCTACTTACTGCATCCTCACAGCAGCTTCACACTCCACATAGGGGATTTTCCTAGGAATGTCCTGTTCTGGTGTTTTTTATTGTGTGCTTCTTTAATGTTTCTTGTACTCTTGGAGTCATGTGAATATAGAAGCAGGTCAGTATCATGTACTTGTACAGAATCACAGCTAAAAAGTTTATAAGCATATCCCAGTTGTATCCAAAAAGTGTTAAAAACATCACCCAAGTTAAATGAACTTGAAAATATTTCATGTTTTTAGGATTCTTAACTTAACAATATCATCTGGAGGGAAGGGGATACAGTTTGTAGATTTTAACAGTGGACTTCTCAGAGGTTCCTCTCTTTTATGAAACTCTATTTTTAATGCTAGAAAAGGGGGAAAAGGAAAGGGCTCTAGGAAGCAAGGAACCACAATGTTCTCTGCATAACCACCCCTGGAACTTGGATTATTTACTTTCCTTCACTAGGAGTGCTTCCATTCGCCATTTAGTCCCATGCGTATTTGGATTATCTACAGAAATTTTTGTCCGGTCAATAAAATGCTAGCCTTAGTCCAGGAGACAGGAAAAATCTACTCAGAATCCCTTCCTCTTCCCAGGTGTTACTTTTACATTCATTACAACCAGACTTTCTTAATTAGAACACAGCATGAAATCACAGCTTGCAAATACAGAGCGGTACTGCAGTTGCATGGATCCTACTATTTGTTGAATGTCTCCTAAGAAATATTTGGTGCCCTCAACTCCTGAAATTGAGTACACTTACGGAGGCAGGGCCAGGTTGCCTCCAAACTCCCCTGGGTATATGTTACTAGAAGCTTGAAAGAAATCTATTTGTTTTCATTTATGTTCTCTAATTTCTCCTCATTTTGTAATGACCTTTTAACTCCAATGAGTTCAACCAAATCAAACCATTGATTTGAAAGAAAGCTAGTGAGACTTTGACCTGCATTCCTGCAGTATCTATACATCATCTTTTTTTTTTGTAGTGTCAGACTGTTCTCATTCTGGCCACTGCACCATGCCCACTGCAACATGCAAACATCTTATGATGCATGAACTATCAAGTAATTCAAGTTGCGATGTCTGGCTGTGAGATACTGATCACATTTTTTTACTGACAATACATTTAACTGGTCTCTTTCCTCTAGGTGTGATTGCTGCAGTGGTATTTGTCCTCATTTGCCTGCTGGTGGTGATGGTCCGGTACATGTATAGGCATAAGGGCACCTACCACACCAACGAGGCAAAAGGAACTGAGTTTGCCGAAAGTGCAGATGCCGCTTTGAAAAATGACCCCGCTCTCCAGGAAGCAGTGGATGAGAGCAAAAAGGAATATTTCATCTGAAAGGCAAAGATTTCCATGGAGGCTTCCCCAAGGGAATCAATCAGAAATGCTACATCAAGAGAAGTGCTAAGAGATGGATAATATGAGGACACAGGCAAGCATCCTGAATGAAAAGTATTTCTTTACTTTTGTTGTCACTGGGTTGTTTCTTTTCCTCTACCGGTGAAGAACTAAATGGCAGATACTTGCCTGTTGATTTTATTAGCAACACAGCTGGTCACAGTTGAAATCAATATCAGATAAGAAGAAACAAAATCTCTGTATGAGTGATACACCAAAACCAGATAAAGATAGCAAATGTCAAGCCTTGACATTTGGTGAAAATAGCAGATACCAATGAAAAACATCCTCTTAGAGTTAATGATGCATCCTATGCTGGTATGATACAGATCTACCTGAAATTGAATTTCAAATGGTCACAGAACAAATATTAAACTAGAGAAAGCTGATGTAGCTGTAACAAAAATAGCTTTGTAGCGCAGATATCTACCCCTTCCCCATAAATGTGCTGTTTTATTGGCACAGGGGAGTTTGTTTTGTTTGTTTGGGGATTTAGATTGGGATTTTTTTTTAATTTTTTGAATTTTATATATATAAAAGTCAAAGACACTTCAAAGAAATAAAACCGTTGGAAAACATGGAAAATGTGAAATGATGATTTATTTCTAACTTGCTCTGCATGGCAACTTGAGAACTGCAAATTGTTGGACTTTACAGTGTAGTATATAATAGCCAGTAGACTTACAAATATGATTCCAATTAGTTGGTAGGTTCCCTGCATGCATGCATACAAAGTAGACAGATATTAAAACTAAAGCATCTTGGTTTCAACAGGCCTTTTTAAACAGCGGAGCTCAGCTAGATTTTTTCAAGTAAGATTTTTTTGCCTGAGTATTTATTTATTTATTTTGCATTGGAAAATTTTCTTGAACACCCACCAGCAGAATTTTGGATTTTTGCAGGGAGAGGAATTCAGTTCAGGTGCAGATACTGATAAATACATTACAATAAAATGCAACAATAAGACTGCCAGTATGAAGAAGCTTGCTCATCCACATCCCTCTGGCTTGTATTGATGACTTCCTCTCTATAGCATTTACGTTGTGCTAGGTAAGAGATTACACAGACCATTGATGCTTTATTATAAATAAATAAATAGATTAGTCATGGTGGGTCACATGAAACCATCTTCTTCCTCGCCTAAGAATCGGTGGTGAAGAGTTTCTTTACCCCAGTAAGTTGGTTTCCTAATTGAAACCCACAATTAGCTCCGGAAATAGGATAATTGTTCTCTGCACCTGCTTATCCCCAGCTGTGATGGTGCCCTGGACTACTGAGAGAAAAACACAATAACAAATAAGACACTGATGAGATCTGCTCAACTCAATATGTTTTTTCCTGTGTTTTCATCTGTGCATGTGTGTGTGTATATATATATGTATATATATAAAGTCATCTACAACTGTGCTTTCAAGACATTGTTGCTGGTCACTTGTGCTCACTTCTTGGTGCTTAAGCTTGGAAATCTCCTGAACTCCAGTATTCATTATTGATATTGGCCACAAAAGTGCTGTAAGAGAAGACAGATCTGAAAAAGAAAAGACTCTGAGGACCTAAGCATAGAAACCGGATATTTTTGTCTTTTCAATCACAGTCTCAGTCTTCTCTCAGTAACTGAAGGAGACAGCCGCTGAATTATTCTTAAAATCCTGATAGTTTTGATTTAGAATCTTAAATCACAGCATGTTTGCATTTTAACCAAAGAATATCAAAATTGTGCCCAATTTAATAAATGCTTAAGATATTTTTTGTAGCATACCATTGCACAAAGATATTGTATTCTGTTGCTGTTGCAGTATAAAATGCACAAAACCCACCACTAGCAGAGCTCAAATGTTTTGATATGCACCTCACTGTTTCCTTCTAAGATACACTACTATTTTAATCTTTTCACTACTTTTGCAAAAGGAACCTGTTTTATTTTTCTAAGACAAGTGTTGGAAAAATTCACTAATCTTAGCTGTAATACTGAGTTTGTAAAACTGAAGACCCCTGACTCCCCAGTTCAATAAAAATGTAAATATTTCCTCTAAGGAGAGAGTAAATGGGTGACTTGAGCTCTGCTGCATCTCCCACACAAAGTGTGGGAACACAAAAAAACTTTCCTTGGGTGCTAGGAGGACCTTGAGAGGGCTACCAGTCTTTTGTCCCCCTTCATATGCTCAGAACCAAAAATGCAAGTTTGGCTGTTAAATAAAATTGACTTCAGAGGAAAGTGTGAAGGACATGGGGAAGAAATTTCTGTCTCCCTCCCCAGTCATGAAAATTTGGTTTTTGCAACTTCAACCTGCTGATTATAATTAGACAACTGTCTCATACCTGATACACAAGAGAACCTGAATTAGTGTATCTTTTGGGGTGTGTGTGAGTCTTTTAATTGTGGGGTGGACTAAGACTAACTGTCTACATTGAAACTACAGAGGCTGGGTTTTCTGGTGGTACAACACGAGTTCAGCAGAGCCCAGCCAATTCTTACCAGTTCAGTCAACACCAGACTTCGTGTCATTGCTTCCCCTAACTCTGAACTTAATGCAACTGGTGGTCTGTGACTATATTCCTTCTTAGTAGCTTAATTAAATCTCTTTATCCCATTTTCCCTATTCATCTAGGCTGACAAACAGCCCAAGTGTACAGCAACAGCTTCCCTATCAGTAATGAGCCACTTTGAATATTTTCAGAGCAGTGACTCTGGCAAGAGCTATGGCTTCTGTTAGTTTATTTTTTTGTACAGTGTCCTTTGAGGTTCCAGGTCTTTGTCTGTTTAGAAATTACTCAAGCATGCTGAACAGAGAGAAGAGATGGTTTGTAGAGATTTTCTTTTTATTTGTTTTTTTCAGGACAAATTTTGCTTTGTAATGAGGACAGCTCATGACAGCTCAGACTCTAACGGCCTGATTCTCTGATTTTTTATTCATACAATAACTGTAGCTTCTTGAGTCATTCAGGTTAGCTGTAAAAAGAGTGCATTACAAACTTCCTATAACTTTTAGGACTAATTATCAAAACATCCTTCTGCAAGCAGCATGCTGTGCTAAAACAAACAGTGGGTGCAATGCCGAGAGGTCTCGGTTGGCAGCCATAGCTTTTCATCACCGATGATGAAATTATTTTTACAATTTGCTTCCTGAATAGACAATTAAGGGAACAGTTTCTTTTCCCCCCCTCATACTTTTATCCCAGGTCCCTCCACTGCTGTGGTCTGTTGTTCTGCAGGTCTCTGGTGCTCCATCTCCCCACCCATGACTGTCATTCTTGTCTGCAGTCCCCCAGACTCCCAGCTGGATCCCCACTGTTCCCTATGGTGAAGGGATGGCCATTTGATTTATGTATTTATTTATTTATTTTTATCAGTGAAAATACTCTCTGCCTGCCAAGAACCAATTTTCAAATGTTTTAGCTTTTGACTTCCAATATTGTGTCAAATTTGATCAAACCTGCCCAACCTGACCTGAGATTGATTTACAGAGTGATCACATGTGCCATGTTTTCACAGAAAACAAGTGTGAAAATATTACTTCAGTCTCTCTAGTTAATTAAATTTATTGCTATAAATCTCTAGTGTTCACCAAAGGAGCAGAATGACAATCCCTCAAGAAACTCAGTGTTGTCCTGACGCTTAATGCCCTGTGAAAGCTTGTTGAATCCCACTTTGCATAGAAAGCCACTGGCCCACATTTAGAAGCATAAATTCCAATGATGTACAGGAAAGCTGTACATCAAAATGACCAATATTTGCTGGAGTCGGAAGAGAGAGGATAAATATGATCTTGTAGGAACACAAGATATCTTTTAAGGATATATGGAAATGACAAGGGTTAAACATAATATTTCTGATTACACTGATGAGCTTTAAGAGTGGGTCCACAAAGCTTTCAAATTCTCTCCCTGAAAAAAATATCATTTGCAGAAGGAAACATCTCCTTTTAAAAGAAAATCTCCTTTTAAACCATCTCTTCTTGTCAGGCTTTGAAAACAGGCTTCACAGATTCAATATTCTACCATTCTGTCTTAACATCTGGGACTCAATTTCTTCTAATTTTGGGGGGATTTCTGTACAGCCCTCCCCTGCACAAAAATGACAACTTGCCAATGTCAGCCCCTGTAGCAGCATTACAGCTCAGCAGAGCAATCTTTGTCCAGAAGTGGGCAGTCCCAAATATGTATCTGGTTACCCATTACTGGACCTGGTAGACATTTTTTTCTGAGGCTTGGCCTCTATCAGGTTTTCCTGAGGTCCAATGTGTTGCACATTAATGCAGTCCTGAGAACTATTTAATCAGCCGCTAGTCCAGATAACTCTATATGATTTCTTTTTTCTTTTTAGAACAACAGGACCAAATCATTTCGGGTACTATTAAAAATAGTACCATAGGATCCCTTAGAAAGTTGACATAGATTTTTCTTTTAAATCAAATCTAGGGATCACTGGGGGAACACCAGGAAACTAAAAATAAAAAGGATTGTTCCCTTTCAGCAAGGAACACAGACAAGGTGCTATAGAATAAGGAGAATAGCACCACTAGCTACAACCTGCAAGGATTCCTTACAGAATAAAGGAAACACAGAGTCCAGATGTAAATCACAAAAAAGATACAGAGGGGGAGGAGGTAATTAGATGCTAATAGAGATGGAGAGCAGGTTTTCGTCAAACAAAATAGATATTGCTCTTTGAAGAAATCAAAGTGTATTTGCTGAAGGTAACTGCTGACAACAAATTTCTTTGAATTATATGAGGTGTTTGAATTCCTTGCATGTGTCAGTCTAATCAAAAAATGCTGGTAAATACATACCAAAAGAGTACTCACGTTAAATGTATTAAGAGCTGTTTATTGCATTTTCTAAAATCTCTCAGTTCTTCATATAAAAAGGCTTTCTGTGTTTAGAAAATGTGGAAGCTTCACATCAGCAGTTCATATAATACAGAAAACTAAAGAACCCCTTAACAAGGAATGAACACACATCTGATGTCTGGAAATTCAGGTAGTTAATAAAGGAAGCTAGCAATATCAAAGAAAAACATACACGGTAAAAATTCCAACCATATTACAAAGAAATGAAATGTTTGTAGCAGTAGAGTTCCTTCTCTAGTTCAAGATGGCAATATTGTCAGTGACTAGAAATAAGGAATTCTTATTCTACACAACTGTTCCCCTTGTGGTTGGGATAAAATCCCACTGAATTCATTGGGACAAGGTTTTTTCTGACTGTATTTATCTTTCTGGCAAAAAATTGTATTCTCACCCATGTCAGAAAGAAACACACTAAATTAAAGTAAAAATATTTGTAAGTGCTGATCTTTCAGCATAACCTCTTGCCTTCACACCATTTTTCAGTTGTTTCAAACTGTATATATGAAGGAAAGTATCTGATACATTGTATTAAAGTCTATTTGAATTGCAGCATTGCTATGACACGAATAGAGAATACAGAGCATTCGAAGCTTACTGCTGATTGTATGTTAAAGCTGACTATAATGTTTGTATTTACCAAAGCTATTAATATACTGCTGGTGTAAATCTACAATATTTTGAATTGGGAAAAAAAAAAGAAGAAAAAAATAACTTTATAATTAAAGTTGTCATTTTCAGCATTTAAAAGACTGTCCTCATTTTTGTTCTCTTCTAAAATACCATGAACTTTTAGAATTGCCAATTATGTTGTTTTCATAAGAATGTTGATCAAAAAGAAGTGGTAGGCTGGAATTTTTTTTAACAGAGCATGCAAACCCTAAAAGATGTACTGCTGCTGTTTGCATTAAAAAAGCAAGACAAGCTTTTGATCGATCTAAGGAGGAGTCAAACTTCAAATAAGAAATCAAACAATTCTCTCTGAAGGAACATTACCCTGTGGATGCCAATGTGGACCTGGTTTATTATGTAAGGCATGGTATTCTTAAAAATTCTAGGCAGCCTTATAAACATCTAGTGGGTATTTACTGATGGGTGGCCTGACTTTCACCTAACTGCTACCAAATGTGAATACTACTTTTTTCATCATGCTTTGCATACAGTTTCTCTTTTATCTTAAGAAATCCTTAGTTAAAGAATATGCAGAGGTTATGCCTAGCATAATATGTATTGTAATCTTCACACTGACACCCCTTTTTTAGAGATCACTGCTGTCAGTGGGAAAACAAAAAAGAACAGTAGGTCTTTAAGTGATATATTATTGTGTCAAAATGATGCCTCAAAATGGTGAAAGGCTGGAAGGTACCAGAGGGAGACTGAATCATCTCAGTTCATATATCTACAAGTGGAGAAGTTGTGGTAAAAACAGGTCTTCCAGTGCACCATTCATGTGCCATAGGACTGTTGGGAGGCCAGCAATAGCCAAATGGTTCATTAGCAATGTTCTTGCTGGGATGACAAGCAGAGACATAAGACTGCTGAAGACTATGCAATGGATCTTCCACAT